ATAATTTATTTTTATAATAATTAAAATAAAATAAAATAATTAGTATTTAATTAATATTTAAGATAACATTTTATATAATATATAAATTTATAACCTTAGGTGATTTTGTAATTATAATAATAATAATAATTTTTTTTTTCAACGGGTTGGATTTAGCCTTCACCAGAAAAAAAGACAAAGCCCGCATACCACGATCCACGAGGATAATGTGGGCTGAGCCCGATCTTCCTAATTATATTCATGGTTGGTACGGCCCTGGTTTATTTACTTTATCATCATATTATAGGGTTCGTTATTTCATACTTCGGCCCTAGTTTCTTTACTTTATTACATTTTAGGATTTATTATTTTATAATTTAAATTATTTTAAATTATAAATTAAAAATTCTAAATGAAAAATAAAATTTAAAATAAAAAATCCATTTTTGTTTAAAATTTATTATTTTATAATTCAAATTATAAAATAATTTTTTCATATATATATTTTTGACTTAAAAAAATTATTGAGGATAAAGAGAGTATTGCATGTGAATAAATTTTAAAACTTTTATGTTTAGGTACGTTTCCATAAAAAAATGATCATTATATCACATAGTGTCCAATAATTTTTTTCATATATTTTATATAACTCTCCTTTTTTCGAGCAGACTTCTTAACTTCTCTTTTTCAAACTGTAAAACAGCATTTCAGATATTTTATACAACTTTTCCTTTCCTGGCAAACTCCTTCGCCTGTCTGGGAAATCTAAGTACAATATTTTGTACTTGTACTTGTTTTCCTTATCGATATAAATATACATAGGATTAGAGTTCTTCATGGGCCAAATCTCGGGCTTCCAGGGCTCTAAATGTGTTTCCAGGACATGTTGGATATTTGTCCTAACATTTAGAAGTTTTTTATTAGTTGAATTAAAATTTTTATTTAATAAAATAAAGATTTAATAATTAATCAATAAAATTTTATATTTATTTTTAATTACTTATTATTTAAATAAATCTTTTTATTTAATTTATGTTATAATTATTTTTTAAAAATAAAATAACATGTGTTACAAGAAATTTTAAAAAAAATAACTAAATTTAAATGCTGAAATTATAAATTAGTTCTACTAAAGTTAAATTGAAGGAGTAACTTTTTATGGGTTTACCATGCTTTTGGGATGCTCTCGGAGACGGGAAGGCTATTTTCTTTGTGATAGTAATAAGGGATCACTTTGATTTTGATGATCTAATTAAAATGCTATATAAAATTATAAAATTATATTTGTAAAATGTCATTGAATAAATTAATGAATATAATATTTTAAGTGAAATTTTAAATAAAATAAATTAATCATATAATAATTCATTATAATTATAAACTTACAATTAATACAGTAAGTTATCAATTTCACATAGGTTTTGTAAAAGGTAGATAAATATAAGTAACACTTCGAAATGGTTTTTTAAGTATAAACTACATAAAAAAGTATAATGTGAAAATTAAGATTATCAAAATAGATATAATGAAACTCCCACTTTTATATTTATTCATTAATGGTGTTTTAATAATTTCAATATTTAAACTTAATTCTAATACTTAAAGTATACTTTTTTATATAGTACATTTTTTTTTTGTTGCATAATGAGAGACAACAATTTTTCATTTTTTATTTCACTTCACTCGTATGTCATGTAACTTGAACTCAAAATTTTATATTTTCGGTGAAAAGAGATGATCACCAAATTATTTAAATCGTCGGTTACATACTACATATGAAAAATCACAAATCTCATATAAATAACATACATAAAAACTATACTACGATAATCATTATTCCATGTTTTGTTGTCCTACTTTAAAAGATCCCATAGGTCGAAATCAACAACCAAGTCCATCCAACTACCTAACCCTTCTTCAACCAAAGGCCTTCCCATCTCCTCCGTTGCCGCTGATGTTTCTTTCCCCAACAATTCTGTAACGGATTGATCTTGGAAACTATTCATGGAAGTGTCAATCATCCCTTCCTCATTTTGGTTCCCGTCAAGCAAACTTTCCCACAACAAAATTTCATTCTCTGGCTTTGACGGCCCGGCTAAACGTCTGGGCAAGGTCCAAGGTTTAGGCTTTATGACCTTGATTTGGGCTGTCTTCTGATCATCTTTATGACCTTTCTTGGTGCAATACCCAACCGTTTTTCGAATGTGAGAATTCCAGTAATTTTTAACATCATTGGCAGTTCTTCCGGGGAGCCTGCCGGCAATAAGAGTCCATCTACACAAGTTGAGATGAAAAAATGAATCTTGTTTCAATTTAATCTGTAATTTCACAAGAAAAACAAGAAACGAGATTTGATTTGATTTGATAAGTGATGTATATAATATTATTAATAAATTTTTAAATAAAAATTAATAAAAAAATAAAATTATAAATTTAAATTAAAACTTTAATTTGGTTCTTTTATTTTGATTAAAAGTCTCTTTTTAACTTCTTTATTTAAAAGAATCCCTTTTTGATATGTAAAATTTGAAATCCAAACTTTTTTTAATTCCTCTATTAAGTTTTGATATTAAAAAATAAAAATTTCAAAATAGAAGGATCAAAAAAGCTTTTTTTTT